GAAATAACAAGCTACTCCAGCAGAAGCAAACATAAAAGGAACCAAATAAAAAGGTCTTCTGTGTTAGCAGGTAGATTAAATGGATTTGGGAGAAGTGAGCAAAAATTAGAAGAAACTCCTTTCAGAAACTTTGTGCCAACACTTTCTGAAGTGGTATATGAATAGACGGTCCTTAAAAACATGAAAATAAGTTGTTCTGAGTATCAAGGTGACAGGAGCCTTAAAAATATGACAGGCAGATCAAAATAATTCAGGTCAAGGAGATTAAACACTGTTTCAGTTGTGACATTATACATGAGGAAGTAATGTTCACTGGTTGTTCCGTTTCGCCATAGAGCATCAAATCACCAGCACAGCTGGGAAACCTTTCACCTCCTGCCTGGGCGTTTCAGCTTGTACCAGGATCCCCTACTTAATCATCTGGAGCTTCTTTTTGACTGCTCTGTTGTTGCATATCAAGCTCCACAGGCTTCTGGTGGTCCTATGTCCTGCTGAACATTGGTGGACTTTTAAAAACCAAAACTATTCCTATCAACTTCAGGTGGGTGAATAGCCTCTGACTCCTCTGCAGTGGTCTACAGAAAACAGGTTTCTGTTTTCATCTGCTGGCTCGGGGTCACTTCTGACTTCCCATGTTCTTCAGCTGATTTCTGACCCTTTTGGGGTCAAGGATGCCCTTCTCTGAGTGGTTAACAGCTTAGTCATCTCTCTGATCGTATGCTTTCCTTATCCTTCTTGAGTTCAGCAAGGTCTTGAGGTTCCTCAAATGAGAAAATTGATAATATTATGTCTTCCACTCACAGTGGATCAAGATGTACATTTAATTTTAACTGCATCCTTTATTTTACCCCAAGAATAAGCCTAGTCATCTTGTATATGAATTTTCTCCCTTGGAGACAGTTTGACTGCTGGTCCTTATTCTTCAGATGACAAAACTTTGTGTTCGCTATTTCCCAGTTGTTTGCCTCTGTTGAGTTGTGGCAGCTTCTGCCCATAACGAATATGTTCATTCTGAATGCTTCAACAAATCTACTTATTCCAGCATTATTGTAACTGAGTTTTCTCATTTTGGCACATCAGAAAACTGACAAGCTTCATCGGCAACTTGAGCGAGATCGCATCTGAGCATTCTGCTGCCCCCCCTTGACATTTGATGCCGTAACTGAACATTTGTTCCACCATGTGTTGCTGGTCAATAACTCCTGGCAGGAGGTGTCCATCTTGTTCGCTGTTTGCATTTCCCTTTTCATTCCCGCTGCTGTACTACCAGCTGTTGTGCTGGTTGCTCACAACTGCAAAAGAATCGGTTGGCCTTTTTCTAAACAGACACTGTGAATGTTCCACCCTACTACCCTGCATCTATATTTCTAATGAAGAGATGGAACCTGGCACAAAGAAAGCAGTCTGAGATGAACCAAAGGGAAATTAAGTTTTTTTTTTTAAAAAATCATATATATAAAAAAAAAAAGATGATCATGGAGAAGCTTGGAGCAAAGTGATCATCACTCCCCACAGCTCCTTATGATTACTGCCAAGACCATGAAAGCGCTCCAAATAATGTTGTGGGGAATGCTGTGATACCCACATGCAATGCAGGTCATCTTCTGTTCATGCAACCTGGCATTTGGAAGACTTATTGCATCAGCGAAGACAGCCAAGAGTGAATAATCTCTACCAAAATAGCTGTAAAGCTATGTTAGCACTTCCATGCTGGTTGCACCAGCATTTTCTGGGGTTGATCCAAGCTCAGATATTCAAAACAAACAAAAAAATTAGAGGCCTTCCTCCCATTAAGTGTTTTTGCCAGGTTTATGGATCTACCTACTCAGCTCAAAACGTTGGAGATAGCTCTTACCAATGGAAGAGCATCTGCTTGGACTTCACCTTTGCTGGAATCTTTGTGTGTCCTTTTGCAATGCCTGCCTTAGGGTAGTTTGAAGTTCCTCTGCTCAAAAAAAGACCAAAAAATTTAAAGTCTGTTCACTGTTCCCTGAGAAAATGGAAACACGTTTTACTCATCCTCAACTTCTCTGACTTCCCTTGAGCTTCACAACTGCTCAGTTTCTTTTTTTTTTGCTTCCTCCAAAACTCTCTGCAAACTCAGCTCACCTCCTGGCAGCTCCTCAGTCTTGGCCTGCTCCTCTCCGCTATCCACAGATAAAATTCCTCTTTTATTTGGCTTGTTTCATCTCTCTGGAATCCTGTCCTCCCTTCCTATCTGCTTCCAGCCGCCAAGTCACCCACCGTCCTTAAATCTCACCTTTAAAAACCTTCCTTCATGGTATGGTTTACAGCTGCCTGTGACGTTAGGCGAGACTGTGTATAGCGGGTGCAACGCGAAAACCTTCGGGATAAAAATAAGCTGTGGTGTATTGCCTCAGAGCCCCACAATAAGAAAAAAAAAAGAGAAAGAAACAAGTCATGTGACACGTTGTAGATAACAAGATATTCAAGATCCCCGGCTGAGTTTTTACAGGGGAAGTAAAGCAGGTGACCAGCAAGGGGGTGATGAACAGGCCGCCACTGAGCCCACCCGAGTGAAACCCACTCTGACAGGAAACATTTTCCTTCACGGATTTAAAACACCCCCCCTCCCCGGGCAGAGGGGAAGGCAGTGGGCAGCTACAGCGGATTTTTACAGCAAAATTTATTTATTTGTGTGAGAAGGGTGGACGACGACGTACAGAGACCGTGTGAGGGAGCCGCCTCCTCCCGGGCTGTCCCCAACGGACACCGCAGGCCCCGGCTCCCGGCCTGAGGGGAGCGTCCCCCCGCTCCCAGCGCCGGCCAGGCCCTACCCCGCCTCAGGGCTCGCCTGATCAGCCTGCCCGGTGCTGCCGGCCGCTGCCCGCTTGCCCCCCGGCCACTGCCCCGCTGCCGCCCTTCCGTTCGCCTCAGGTCACCCGTGGGGGAGAACACGGGACAGGCCGCGGTCCCTTTAAATAGCATATTGTGGTTCACGTCGCCGCCGTCTCCTTGTAATAATTAGTCGTGGGCCGCAGCCCCGCCTCCTCCTGCTGGCGGCCGCCCTCCCCCGGCTCCGCCAATCAGCGCCCGCCCGCGTCACTCCGAGGGCAACGAAACACGGAGAAAGGGGAAAAAAAAGTTTGGTGAGGAGCGAGTGGGGCCAGGCGGGGCCGGGCGGGCGGCGGCGGGACGCGGCGGGCCCGGAGGCAGGTGAGGGTTGAAGCGCGGCCGGGACGGCGGGCGGGTTGGGGCTGGGACGGTGGCCCCTCTCCGCCGTGGGGCAGGTGGGGCGGCGGCCACCCGTTGGAACCCGGGGAGCGGCGGGGGCGCTGAGGGGAGGGTGTCCCCCTCCTTCCCCTCCCCACCCCACAG